GTCATAATTAGAAAAGATAATTGTTTGTTTTACTTCTTTATTTACTGTTCTATGTTTTAAGGAAAATAAGTTTTTGAACTTATTTCTAAAAAGTAATAAATCTATATACACATATAATATATAATAATGGAAATTTGATTTTATTTACAGCCAAGACAGGTCACTTTGTAAAGACTAAATGTCAATTATATATTATTGGATACAGTAACATGAGAGCACATGTGCCACATCATTGTAACTTCTGTATTGTTAGCCAGGCACATATGAAAGGTAAAAAATACAAAAAATAATAAATATATATATATATAATGTTATGAGATTTAAGCTATTTAGTCTAAACATTTATGTTTTTATGTTATAATCTATTGTCATTGTAGAATGAAAGAGGCATAATTTATATTTATTTCCCAATTTTTTTATGGTGGTTACAAGATCAGTTCAAATCTACCGAACCCATACAGAGATTTGTTAGTGAAAATAACAGATAAAATTCAAAGTTTTTTCTTAAGAAACATTTGATAACTATCTGGACATTATAAAGATTTTGCATGTGAAATTTGAAAATCTTTTGATGCATAAAAGTATTTTTAATCTCAAAATAAAAATTACTTTGCATGTTGAATAGGCAACATGTGAAAAAAAGGCATGAGAAAAACACTGCTTAACAAACCTTAAGACTTAATAAAAAAAATTGATATCTTGCATATGAAAGCATTGTAATGTTTACTGATAATCTGCCAAATTTCATTAACATACGCTTACTAATTTAAAAGTTATAGCATAAAAAGCTATAACAAGCACAAAATGGTTACAAGGTTGGCCCAGGGACCAAGCCCATGCTGAAAGAGTTCATTTAGTTTTAGATAACTTATTCATGTCCTTTCAGCCTAAGCTTTTTTGAATATATGAAATACAAAACACATAGAGTAAAAAATACAATTAAACATCTATACCATGGGTGAAGCTTTGTCTCACCATGTTAACTTCTTAAGACATGTTCAAATTGAAACTATACTTTCCAAAATCTGAAAGCATCTTTTCTTCCAAAGTGATTTGAAAACTTTATTTGAGTGATGTTTTGACCATCCTACTGTGGGCATCAGAGTTAATATAAATTGTTACAAGTTTAAATAATACCATGATGCATGAGTCTTGATTCATTTCAGTTTACAAACTAACTTAAAATGTCAAAGAATATATATTTGGCTGTACTTTTACAAAACAAGGTACAGTAATTTGAAAGAAATAACTTAAAATAGTTGTTTAAATCATATGATTTATATACTTACATAAAATTCATATAATAATTAAGAATCAGAAGTTATGAATGTTATAAATATGGAAATATAAAAGTTAACATGGCTTATGTGCAACATGAATAAATCACTGAAGTAATGATAAACAAAATAGACACTGATAATTTGGATCAAATGTTGGGAAACTTATCTCCTTGATTAACATTACTGTAAGAAAAAAAATTAAACAAATTTTGAGTTATAGAAGAAAAACTGTTAACAGATAAATGGTTTTCTTATAATTATAAATTTACATGCATCTATAAAAAATGTCAGTATATTAAATATATATATATAAGAATATTTTAATAAAACACTAAAATTTCAAGTTGCTATGGTTGTAGATGCAATTACTTATCACTGAGATAATAGCTACAGTGAAAAAAGATGCACAGAAACATACAACAAAACCTGGTAAGAAATGCTACTACAAATAACTTTAGCTAGTATTAATGCTGCTCACTGACATCTACTATACAAGTTACCAATTATATCTACTACAAAATATCCATCTAATTGAAAATAGATATCATATAATAGTGTTATGGCTAATAAAACTTGAAATTACACAGATTCTATGACAACGAATTTTGAGCTCGTGACTTATGATTATTACAAATTATTCTACATATGAAAACAACTGTAGAAAACATACCACTAAGTTACCAATGACTACAGTTCCTAGGAAAAAAGGGATGCATGACCAGCCAGACACCAACAAACAATCCCACATGGACTCTATCCATTCTCCACACAGGACTCTGAACACAATCATGAAGGAATGCATAAAGTCTCTAAAATTCCAGCGAGGCACTTTCCCATCAATAAATCTGTTCAATGGAATATAATGACTTGCTTAGTTAGACATACATAATTTATTGAACTTCTGTTATGTTTATTCAAGAGTATTAATATAATTTATCTATTTTTAATAAAAAAATATTAAACGATTCGTAAAATTTACTAAAGAGGCTCAAACCCATTACTATGTTATCAATTTTTTTCTTAACTTTTTAAAACTTCGCCCTATGAAAGGCTCGAGCTTTAGAATATTTAGTTCAACTAATAAATTATTTTAATTTTGCTTTGCTTTTCTTTTATCACCATGCTATATAAACATGAACTGATCCAAGAAACTGTATTTATTATTTTTTATTAGAAATACAATATCATACTGCTTTGAGGTAAAAAAAAAAAATGTGAGAAAAAAGTTAAGATGAACCAAAGGATTAAAATGAGAATTACAGCTTTTATAATGATTTTTATGATCAATGAAGTCCCTTCTAAATAAGAGTGACTTTAAACGGTTGAGTAAAGTTTGTGTATATTTCATAATATCTACTATACGAGTTTCTTAAGTTGCAACAAGTACCAGCAACAAGTTCTTTAATATAAATTCTGCAAATTAAGTGAAATTTAGCAACACAACAATTAAGGAAATTTACAAAAATATAATTAATAAAGTATTTAAATGTGCAATGTACTTCAACTCTTTTTATTTCATACAGTATTTTGTTTTTGTGATGTTTCTAACCATTTTGTTTTTCTTTCGTTTTCAATTTTAAAATGACCAACAAACTATAAATAAAACCCTTATACTTTATAGTAAAAATAATTATATTGTTATGATGTAAGCTAATTTGTAATTACATAAAACCTAAGAAACATAAACATGTACACTTACAAATGTTTGTTTAAATCATAGTTCTTTCCAAAAAGCTGCATCCCCATAACAGCAAATATAAAGATTATGATGGCCAAAACAAATGTCAGGTTACCCAAGGCTCCAACAGTTTTGCCCATAATCGATATTAGCAGGTTTAAAGTGGGCCAAGACTTGGCTAACTTGAAAACTCGAAGCTGAAAGAATGAATATTCTTTGTTCTAAAGTATAAACTAAAACAACTAGGAATAGAAATTATGTTATGAAAATCATATAAACCAAAAAAATAATACATGTGAAATATTGATAGATGCTAATAAACACTCTACAAAAGAGGGTTTGTCAGGAATGAACAGTACATACCACTCCTTACTAGTAAATCACTGTTTACCCAGTCATTCAATAAAATGCAAATGAAGAAATACAGAAATTCACAGGTGAGTATATGTATACAAACATATATATATATCTGTCCCATCCTCTACGCTAAATTAAAACAATTAAAAAACAAGCTCAAAGCAGTTCTTATCATTCATATAGTTATCAAGCTTTCTCTTAAACTCACTTAAATTTACTGCCTTCACAACATCCAAAGGCCAACCACCCTTTTAGAAAAACAAAACTCTTTCAGCTGAAGATGACTCCTACCCTGCCAAAACTTATATTTGTATTCCCTATTCCTACCATTAAGTATGAAAAAAAGATGATGAATTAACACTATCAATTCCCTTAACAATCTTAAATGCCTCAATCAGATCCCCTCTAACTCTCCTTATATAAAAAACCCTCCATCCCAGACACCATTCTAGTGACCCTCCTCTGAACCCTTTCCAAAAAATCAGTGTCCTTTTTAAAGTAAAGAGCCCAAGACTGAACACAATACTTCAAATGTGGCCTAACCAATGGGTCTGTACAATAAAATTATAGTGTCTTTAGACTTGTATTCAATATTTTTGTAGATACAACCGAAAATCCTATTTGCCCTACCACTAACAACAGTACACTGCTTGGATGGCTTGAGAGACTCATCAACCACTACACCAAGATCCCTTTCTTATATAACACTTTAAGTTTATTCCCAATCAAATTATACTTATAATTCAAACTATGATAAGCTACAGGTATTATCTTGTAGTTATTGTAATAAAAACCCATCTACCATTTATTCTCCCAACTCACTAAATGATCTAAATCCTTTTGTAAAGCAGCAGCAGCATCCTCTTCACTGCCAGCAACACCCAAGACATTAATATCACCAGCAAATTTAATTTATCGACCATTCCTTCATCTACGTCATTGGTGTAAATGCAAAAGAGCAAAGATCCTAAGAATGAGCACTGAAGTACCCCACTTGTGACATTAATACAGTTTGACTGAGCTCCATTTATAACGACCCCTTATTTTCTTCCATCCAGCCACTCTTTTATCCAGTTAGCTAATGTATCCCTCACACCCATAGAGATAATTTTTTTACAAGCCTTTTATGTGGCACCTTGTCAAATGCTTTCTGAAAATCCAAATACACCAAATCTAAACCCTTAACCTCATCTATAAGGCAAGATTTTCCCATAGTGAAACCATGTTGACTATCCAATAAAATTCTAAACTTTGTTAAATGACTTTGTAAAACATCTTTTATCAGACTTTCGACAACATTTCCCACACCTGATGTAAGACTAATAGGCCTATAATTACTGACAATTTTCATCAGCTCTCTTGGAAAGAGGAGTAGCATTAGCCAACTTCCAACCTGCTATTCAAGGACTTGAGTAGCAAGAGTAGCAAGTGGCTCATATATCCAATCCTTAACTCCTTCAAAACCCTTAAAGAAATATTATCTGGCTCAGGAGACTTATCATTCTTTAAACTTCCCATTTTTTCCCTAACAAGCTCAGAATTAATGTGATCATCTTGTCCAATCTTGTTTCCATCCATCAACTGTTCAAGATGGGAATATTGCTTAAATATTCATTAGTAAAAATTGAAGAAAAAACAGAATTTAATAACTCAGTCATCTCAGATAAAAGCCTTCCTATATCATTCCTTAAAGGTCCTACCCCCATCATAACAGTGTTTACTCTTCATGTATTCAAATAAATCCTTACTATTACTTTTTTTTTTTACAAACATCTTTTTTTTGATATCTTAATTTCCTGTTTGACCAACTTTCTTCATCTTCTATAATTTTCTAAATCTCCTGTCATACCATTCAATTTAAATTTTTTAATTTATGATGATTTTCTTTAATTTTATCCCTTATACCTTTTGTGAGCCAACCTGGTTTTTTTTTACTTGCAGCAACCTTTTACTTTCTATAAGGAATATGTTTATCTTGAATATATAAAGAGTTATCTTTAAAACTTTTCCACATTTGATCAGTGTCTCTAAATAACTCAGCTGCCCAATTCACAACAGATAATTCTTGATGCATCCCTTCAAAATTTGTAACCAAAATATCATTATTCCTGATCTCCATATGCTGATAAACATCAAATCTAAGACAGCAATGATCATTTACACCCAAATTTCCACACTCTCAACTATTTCTGTGTTAGAAGTTAATAAGTTTTAAACAGTTTCCAAAAACCTTTCTACCAATCTGTATGTCTGAAATTAAAATCGCCCATACTTATGACCTCATTAACAGCTGAAATTTTAGTCTCACTGTAAAGTTTCTTGTTAGTTTCATCAGTATTATCTGGTGGTCTGTAACAAATTCCAAATAAAAGTATTTTTCCTTTAAGTCTACTAATAGAAACCCAAATGGATTTGATCTCCTTGCTATTTTTTTTTATATCCTCAACTTCAACAGGATGTAACTCACATTTTACATATAAAGCCACTCTCACCTCTCTTTAATACTCTATTAAGTAGCCTGTAACCCTGTAGCCTGTTATATTTCAAAGAAATTTCTTTTATCAAAATCATTTACATTTAATCACGTTTTAGTTATTCCCATTATATCAAAATCCACCATTCCTACCAGTGTTCTAAAGTCATCTATTCTATTTCTTGTACTTCTAGCATTACAATAGTAACAATTAAGACTACTCTTAGAAGTACTTCTATGTTAATTTCCTGTGCTAAACTTTTCTCTACATCTTACTTTTCCATTTAGTTTATCCTGGCCTTCACCACTGTCTAGTATTAGTTTAAACTTCCCTTATGGCTGAGTTAATAGCCCATGCAAACAAGTCAGCCCGTACCCTATTTAAATGTAAACCATACATTCCAAAAAACTCTCTTCTCCCAATGAACTGATCCCACAAGTCCAATCAGTCAATCTTCTCATCCTTACATATTAACCTAAGCCTAGCATTCAGCCCTAATAATTTCACCCCACAATTAATTTTTGGCAGTATTCCTAACACAATTAAGTTATTGTCCTTTTCTTCATATGCCTTTAACAATCCCTTGTACTTATCAGTTAGCTCCTCTGACCTACCTTTCCATACATCATTTAGCCCCTATATGCAAAACAATAAACTGTATTGTTGCTAGCCTCCTTTATTATATCTTTTGTTCTATCTGTTATATCCTCCACCTGTACCTCTGGGTAGCATAATCTAATTCTTTTCTCCCTATTCACCCCACAGACTATCCTATCTACATGCCTTGTCAAAGAATCACCTAAAACAATAACCTCCTTTACTTTATCATTCGCATCCTTCTTTGTCCCTTTTGTTTTCCTTCACTCCAATAGTTCCACATCCCCAAAAGCCAAGTCTTAACTAGTCTTAACCATTGTATTTGTAGCCTGGGAATAAATACTCAACACTAAATACCAGTACCCTTTGAAAACACTGTTAAGCCTAATGGTTGAGAATCAAATATATTACAATATTTTATCACTACTTTATCTTCACACTAAAGTAATTAATATATTAATATATATACATATATATTCATACATATTAGTATGACTGGTATACCACAGCTTAAATGATAAAAAGAGATTGGCATAGCCCACTTACATCAATTAATTTAAGAATGGTTGCCAACGGATGTCACTATTTATGTAACTATGCAATTAAAAGAAGCAATACGTCATAAGGGATGGATTTCAAAAGATTTTATACATACCAATCTGAATGATCGAAGTACTGACAAGCCTTGGATACCAGATAAGGTTAGCTCCAATAGGGACAAGGCTACAATAATGAAATCAAAGATGTTCCATCCTTCCTTAAAGTAATTTTTTGGGCTCACAGCCATGAGCTTCATAGCAGCTTCTATTGCAAAAGTTGCGGTAAAGAACTGGAAAAAAAAATGGCAATCAAGAGTAGTAGGCTTAATAAAAAAATATCATCAACTTCTAGAACACATGATCACATTTGAATTATCTTTAATACTAGAGGGAAAATAATATATATACATATATTAAGTTTGAAAAATATGCAACTGCACATTTCGACAAAGTGCAAAAAAAAATCCATAATAATAACCTTTTTTTTTTCCTTATTAGAAAGAAATTTATCCCAAGTTTATTTAATAAAATTTGAGAACAATACTTAAACAAAAATCATATATTTAAAGCAAGCAAAAATGTACTATGCTCTGTCTAATGCTTACAAAAAACATCCAACATTTAATAACAGCCTCTTTTTTTTTGTCATATAAAATAAAATTTGGCTGTTTTGTATTAGGGTACAAAAAAAGTAATACTGCTTTAAAGCACTTTTAAATAATTTTCAGACTGATAATTTATATAACTGAAAACTGGCTATATAAGAGTTCTTTATCTTTGTAAAAGTTCACCATTTTGAGAGTCATTCTGAAAAACTGAAATTTGTGGAGACTTATTTATAATTTTAGTTTCTATTTGAAAGTAATTTGTTGAACATTTCAAAATTGTTAAAACAGAAACAATTAATCATTGTAGATTAAATCTTACTTCCTTGAGGTTAGGTACAGTTGTTATAGCTAACATATATTCAAATTAGAGCTTTCTGAAAAAAACATTTCCTGATTGCAAAGAAAAATAATGCATGCAAATCTAATAACACGTCATAGAATCAAGTATGAAGATTAAAAAATACAGAAGTATGTTAATTCATATTTTGTTACAATATGAAATTGTTATCTAAGTACACTTACCCTGGAAGATGAACTACTTACTCAGATGACCACACCTTAATATTTATTACAGTTTCTGCAAAACATGTGCATACAACCAATCAAGAAGATAACACTAAAGTAATTTTCACCTAATTCCTTTCAAAAAAAGGCAAATTCATGCTGATTCAAAAATAACACTCCAAGCAAAATTTGTGGTTTATCTAGGCAGAACCCTTGTAAGCCATGCACAGGCCTAGAAAAGTTTTTGCCTGCTTGTGCAAGTCAACTGGAATGTAACAACTTCATCAATCCAATACATTTGTCCTTCTTCAGTTGTCATGCTTCAGCTTCATAAATACGAATGCAAAAATAATAATTTGTGAAAACCAAAGCAAAACAAATGATACACTTATTTAGTGTTAATTCAATTCAAACTTTATGGAATATATATATATATATATAAAATGTCACTATCTTTATTAATTTCAAAGAAAAATCAAAGCCAAAACAAACAAAAAAGAACACATACTTGCTTCATGAAAGAAGAATACAAAAACAGAGATTAGTGCAACTGGAAAAAACAAAGAAACATATTCTTTATTTAACAAACTCTTATAACAATGCAAAAATATATCTTTAATTTTAAGTGCCGTTAAAGAACAAAAAATCAAGTGTAAAATTCACACAAAAAACACATATATATATTAGCAAAATACCATTTATAAATCTATTTTATGAAATATAGGTGCATATATTAAACAAAGTGATTAATAAAAATTAAACAAGTACAACTTATGTGATTATGTTCCATATTTTGAAATAGTTAACTCAATTCCCTTAAATTATTGCAGTACATTGTTTATTATAACTAAGTTCAACTAATTAAAGCAAAAATTAACAAACATATTATACTAATTTTTGCTTGTCTATCTGTCAAAACAAATTAAAAGTAAAATAAAAAACAGAGATGTTTATGATTTAATATTTTAAAATATATTTCATCATAGATAGAATGCTACACAGCCCTAAGAAATACAATGACAAAGATAACTTCATCTGGGATAATTATGAAGTGATTTAGATTATGGTGATTGAAATGTAATAAGATATCAACTGGAGGATGGTTACTGTCAGTTTATCAAGTACTCTTAATTTAATCCCTGTTTTGTACTTTTTCATAGGCATATTTCTCAAAATAGAATTAAAGCAGGAGATCCTTCTCTTTCTTCTACCTTATGCTAGTAGATTAGGTTAAAATTACACAACAAACAAATGATTATAATTGATGACTATTTTAATGACTTGTTATAAACAATTTGGTTTATTTTGGAAAAAAAAAATTAATTGTTACACATAATTTAGTTAAAATAAAGCTTAACATTACTTGTGTTCATGCCAGAGATCAATATGCTGCTTATTATTATTACCTTATTTATATTATTATGTTCAATGAGTTTAGTTTGGCACATTATTTTTGATTTTGTGTTTAGTAGAGTCAGGTTTTATGAGCTTCTGTAAATTGAATACTTTTTAAAAGATATTTTGATTAACTGCTATAATAATTTATGAAGGACAAGAAACTGTCTTTATTAAAAACAAAGCTGCACAATGCACTATCTGTGACGTGCCCACTGCAGAGATTAATACCAGAATCTTACAATTATAAGCTAACTGTTGAGCCAATGGTGGGGTCTCTCAAATATACATTTACATTACAAGAACTTGTATGTACAGTGACTGGCCAGTAGCAACTGATAACTTTACTAGAGCTCCAATCCAATATTGGCTCACAGATTTTGCCTAAAGATTAGTGAAAGTGGAAATTGTGATGCTTAAATGAATTGAATTTCAATGATTATGTTAAACATGGAAAATAACTGAAGTCCATGTAATGCTTGTCAAACTGATTTCGGACAGTACAAGAATATCAGGTTGTTCTCATTAAACCTTGGAAAAGCCCTTGATTATTAAGGTGAAAATGCAGCATTGTAGGATGAACATGAATGGAAAAAACAAAACAAAAGACTCACGCCATTTCACAGATAATAGCCATATATTAAAGTCTTTGAACAGCTAAAAAAATAATCTTTCATAAATAAGCTCCAACTAGCTGAGCATCAAAAGCCTCTAAAGTGCCTCTTTGGAAATTAGAAAGATCCTTTCACTTACCCACTGTTGTACAGAGTAACCATAATATGACTACATCTCAACATTAATACAACACAAATCATATGGCATACTCAGGTTATATAGAAAAAGTGGAGTGTTCAACTAATGCATGTGTGTGTGTGTGTGGGGCCTAAATAAAGTGGCCAACCAGGATATTTTCATTAAAATTGACTTTTTCTAAGTAAATATTAATTCTACATATATATTAATCTATTTATATAATTCAAAATGTAGATATATATGACAATGTGTATGTGTGTATGATTCTATATGCAGTACAAATTGTTTTGTTTTCATTTTTGTTAATAGTAATATAATTCTTGTGTTAGTTTTTTTAAGTATTAAAAGATACAGAGTGGTTCAGCTATATAGTATCACTCTTCCCTAAATTCCCTAATTTCTTGCTCAGTTTATACTGTAACATGTGTCAAGCTTCAGTAATGGTCAATATTACAGTGGTGAGTTCTTAACTTTAGGAAAAACAAGTTGAAATATTGAAAATAGTTACATTTTGCAGGTAGCCATTTTTGCTGGTTTACAAATATAAGCGGTTAGATCTCCGATATAAAAGTATTTAATGCTAATATGAATTTGATCAGACAGTAGTCCCTCTTAGATATGACCAACCTATCTGCCATGATAAAAAAAGTTGTGTCTGACAAGAAGTCGTTATTCAATGGATCAATAACGAGATAATGAACAACCAAGATCAAGCTGTGCCAATTGCTATTCCCAGGAGTTGAACATAATGGTTTATATATTGTATAGGTTATCAGATAATGTAGCAAATTGCATTAAAACAATTTAATGTTGACTAAAAATTCTCTAATTTCCATGTTTCATTTATAGATCAGGTATAACTTGGAACTGGTTGTTTTTGCCACAGCTTTGATCTACCTCAACATTCACATCACGTTTCTATATCAACACTTCGAGTTGGCAAATTAGAGCCTCCTCTTTCTTCACAGTGACTTCCTGTTCTCTCAGCTTGAAACATTCACAGCTTTCTCGGATGCCTTGAGGCATTCCATTAGCCATGCTTACTTCACACATTAGTCAAATCTGTAACTCAACAAACTGTGAGCTAACCTTTACACACATCCCCCTAGTAAATCCTAATCAACTTAACGTCTAGGCCACTACCTTAAAATCTACAACATTCACTAAAAGAATAAACCTTAATTCTCCAAGTGGGGCAAAGACAAACAACAGTTTCTGGCTGCCCCTTGTTACTTTTCAGGACCTGGAAGTTTTTAAACCAAAATACCTATGTATATGGACCAAGAAACTTTATTTGAACACCCCGGGGTACCAAGATCATATACTAAGCTGTGAAGCAATCTCGTTATGTGACCTCTTTGTTCCATACTGTATACACTGCATTCATGTGTCTCTATAAATTACATTATTGATTTGAAGAAAAGTCACTACAGAGAGGTCATTATTCGACCTTATGCCCAAAAATCATGGTTGTATGTTGCATCTGTCAGGAAGTCAAACATGGAATGTCAGACCAATGTAAAATCATCCCATGCATAAAAAAAAAAGACATATTTAAAAAGAACTTGTTATTGGGAGGGGTCTTATCCACGAGGGACTACTGTATTAGCATTAACATTAGCACTGTGAAAAAACACAAATTATATTAGCCTGTAGGATTTATCTACAGATACTAATGTAATAAACTTTCAGAAATTTACATACGTGAGACAGATAGAAATTTAGAGATGTGAATGAAAAAACACCTCATCCACTTTCTTACATTGTACCTTGTTTCAGCTATAATTATGTAAACATATGACTTACTGTGCCATTTACAGTTTGGGGTTGATATTTAATGACCAAATAGCTGTTAATTTTACTATTCCATAGCTAGTTTAGAATACAACTTTAGTCAAACATATTCTCATAATTTCTCCTATTTGTTCATGTTGATCCACATTACTTTGGTTCTGTCCCCTCCCCTGGGAGGACAAGCCTACCTTGAGAAGTGATGCAGAAACTTGTACAAATTGATACGAGTTATGGATTTACCTTTTCTACAAATCTTATTTTGAATAGTCTGTGACTTACATAACATTTGATTGTATTATATTGCACTTTAATGTTTTGTCTGAATCTTGGTAAATCAGAATTACCTTTGTCTTTGCCCTGTGCAGATGAGTGTAAGAAAGCCTCTCACACCAGCAGCCATAAACAGTATAAAAAACTGTAAGCTGGCCAATAAGTGTGAAAACTTACACAATTTTCGTGAATAAAAATTTTGTTTTACTTGTTCACTTCATGAGTGTATGTTTCTTTCCTTTGCTGTTCTAGTTCAATTTATTCTTCAGAAAACATTTACAGAATGTGTATTTTGTGAATACTTTTGAACTTATCTGTCAGTTATCATGGCTATAAGTGTTAATATGCATGAAAGCTGTTGCTAGAGTCAGTAAACTTGCCATGTCAACTGTATTTATAGTTATTATATGTAGTGCCTGGGTCAGCTGTTGTTAAGACAAATACTCAATATACTTCTGTCAGGTTTAATTAACGTCAACATACACACATGCAGTACCCACTATCAGTTGTTGTTAAAGTAAAAAAATTGTATTAACTGCAGTTAGGGTCAATGTCAATACATATCACATATTTATCAGTTACAGTTACGACAGATGTACAAAGTAACTGTGTTAGCTTCAGTTAAAACTATTCTGTATAATAGTAACATGCAGTTACTTGAATGAAGAAAAAACAAATTAGTTAACTAGATAACAGCACAACTTACATAGTTTCCCTTCTTTAAAACGTTATCAAAGTCTGGATCCATATTATCATGATCCATGGCCATGAAAAGAGTGTTAACAACAATACATAAGGTTATGAAAAGTTCCATAAAAGGATCAAAAACAATCAAGGAAATAATCTGCTGAAAGCGAATCCAACACCAACAACAGTCCCAAACACAAAAAATGTCAACGTATTTCAAGCACTCAGCTAAACATCTATCTCTGAACTTCATTTCCTCCCCTTCTTCCTCTTCTTGTTCTAGAAGAAATACATGTCATTAAATACATTTTCACTAATAAAATATGATTATTGCATTAATCAGAGATTTAATGCTTTTATATACTTCTTTATGTAAGTTAAGATAGAACCATATATTTATTTTAATCACTTGCTGTTTTAAAACAAAATAAAAATCTCACCACAGAATGTGCTGATATAGTGTCAATACTTATTTTACAATGCTTTTATTTCAAAAATCACTATAGCTAAACTATAAGCATAGATCACACCAAATTTTAAACTGGCAAGAATGTTTTTCCTGATTCTCAGAGAAACTGATCAATAAAATTTCAAGGTTACATTGTTGATATCATTTTCAGTAGTGTAGTACTAAATTTTAAAGTGCTGGAGCCCTGTCAAAGTTTGTCTTATGTGTGACGTCACCATCAGGATAAAGATCTCATATTTGAAATCTCATTTTCATTTTTGCAAATCCATTTTAATAAAGAAAATATATGAAGCTCTAATTATTTGAGACTATTTACATTAGATCTAAACTGAATACAAATATATTACCAAGAGAAAACACATAACTCAACTTTCTTTAAATTAAGCAGTGAGAAAAAATGTGACCTAATTTCAATGAAAGTAATTCATTTATGTAAAAGTACATATGATGTTTTGTGAAAAATCTGTACACGATGGAGAAAAATAGATATAATTTTCGGATTAAGCATATAAGATTACTGTAGAACATGTAAAAGCTTCAAGACAGTAAATCCATCAAGGCCTATGTAATAACCCTTTAAACAACTGTGTATGTTTTAAACACATTAAGTATAATTGTCAAATGTATTTTATTACATGTTTTACTACCATATTTACATCTTAATAACCATGGGATGTATAACAAAAACATTTCATCATTTTAGTGCTCTGACACTTGCTTTTGAGCCAGAGTTGTCACACAGTGTTTGATGCCAGCTGTGAAAGAGAGTAACAGAGTATGTACTGAGCAGCTTGAGAGAATTCTACCAATGGACAGGGGGATCACAAACAGCTGGTATTCTCTGATACACTGAGAGTTTGGTTATGAAAGATACTTAATTTCAGGTGTAAACTGAATAATTTATTTTTCATGTACACAGTTTTAGTTTTGTAAGTGTCAGAACCCATCTTCAATTTCAGGTAGTGGAGCAGTGTTTTAGCAGCACTACATTCCTGGTTAAGTTTAAAACTAAATAACATAAATTCTTAGTTTTTTCTTGTAACTTATAATGAATCTTAAAAATCTCGCATTTTTACACAAATTAGTTTAACCTGTATTGAATTTCACCAAGTTGCTATAATACTTTAACAGAAATCTATCACCTGTTTTTATTCCAGTTTTTGTGTGATGCACTTTGTCTTAAATCTAATGCAAGCAAGATTATAAGATGATTATTTTTGACTCTGGTGTAACTTGCCTTACTTCAAGACTGTTTATTGTTAACTTTACAAATAGGTTTCAATAAACTATATTAACTGTATTAACAAAACAATTTTGCTGACTCACTCTAGTTAGAAAGAATTTAGCCAACCTTAGAAAAAGCTAAAAGTGGCAAATATAATATTGACTAGCAAAGCTTCAAATGAGAGAACAAGCACAAAACATAGGTGTATATCTTTATCCATGTGTACTATCTGTATGCCATATTATTCAAAATTGCCTATCAAAAAACTTGTATTTACCTTGGTCACTTAATTTGCTTTGTCTTCCTGCAGCTTGCTCAATGATATCATTCAAAACCATCACATCTTTAAAAAAAAAAACATATCAAATTTAGATTAAAAATATCTTAATTGATAGTACTTTTAATATATCAAGTTTCAAAACACTATAATACACTGTAGTATTTCTTGAAATAATGATTTAAAACCAATCTCAAGTTTATGTGTGAGCTAAGCCAATAATTTACTTCAGAAATATGGTGCCTAGTTAATCACCCAAAATCTTAATTGTCAGTGGTGTACTTTCTGAATATCAAAACAGTAAACAAATGCAAAAATGGGGTAGACAATTAGAAATTTTGGAAAACAAAAATGTGCATTTTAAAAGAAATGTTTTATTAAAAGAAAGCTCATAAAACTTTTAAAATAACACTATTAAAACTGCCTATGGTTCTCATTGTATTTGTACTTTAATTTAAATGCACAATACTGATCAGATACAGAGAAGAGGGATACTAAAGAACAAACATTTTAAATAAATTCATAGATAAAAGTAAAAAATGTCAACTATTATCATGTTTTAATTATATTTTGGAAAAGTGAAGTAAACATTGTACATGATGCAAAAGTTTGTACTTCATCATTATTCTCATGCCACTATATTTTGTCTAGTTTATCAATCCAGAATCTACCACACTGTAAGTTATATACAGCAAAAATTTGTAAAAAAATAGGAAATTTGAACAAGAAATATATAAAACAAGTAACTATTTGGTCTGTGAGAATATGAAAACCTACTGAAGAGGGTTCAGAGGAAGGTTACTAAGATTATTCTGGATATGGAAGGGTTGGTTATAAGATCTCTTGTTGAATATAGAAGACAGTTTAGTGTATTAGTTATTATTTAGTTCATTTCGTGATATTATATTTAATTATTATTATCTAGTTTTCATAATGAGAGTGTCAAAGTTAATTAGTTTGAAGGTGATAGTTATAATAAATTTTGTTACATAACTCAGTAAGAGTCATAAGTTATATGTGTAGTCCAACTGTTGTAAATTGACGTTACATTATTCAAACCTTCTGTACATTTGTCCTTGTCTTAAGTGAATATTGTTACATTATAGCACCTCATCATTTGTAGAAAGGTCTAGGCCTTAGTTGGACAATGTATATATATATTGGGTGACAAAATGAGTGCAAGTTAAGTGAAGTTAATTCAGAAAAACTTAAGTTAGTGAAATTGAAGTTAGACTGTGTGATTGTTAGTTTAGCCATAATGGGTGATATTCTAAAGTGAGTTTCACAGTTTAAGAGAGATAAGGAGAAATAATTTGTCTTGTTGAAGAGTGTTATAAAGTAATTGAACCTGCCTGTGTAGACTTTGATGAAAGGAGACAATTATTTAAAGTTCTGGATACAACTGTGGTAACCCACGGGGTGACATAAGTGAATCTATCGCAGATTGTGTAGTAAGAAACAGAGTAAAGAAAAATAATTTATCTTGCCAATTGAGTTCTAAGGTAACTGAACCAGCTTGTGTAGACTTTTGACAAGAAAAGAGAATTATTTAAAGCTTTAGATATAACTTTGATTACCAATAGGGAAACAATTTTTTTTACATATGTTTGACTTGTTTTGAATATATACACATTATTTTAAAACAAGTGCATTGTATGCTGTCCATTTATTGTTCAAATTTATCGCCAACAAGTCACAGACATCTACTATAAAAGAATCCCATACATAGGATTGATTATAATACCTCTTAATTTATTTTCTCTTGAGAAAAGAAAAATAACTGGTGATCTTATTGAAGCTTACAAGATTATATGGGGGATCAGTAGGATAAAGGCCTCTGATGTATTTATATTATACCCTAAAAACAAAAAGATACAAAGACATACATTTAAAAATTGGAAAAGACATCCCAGGCGTGTTTAAGGCATTTTTACTTTTCTAACAGTGGTCATTGGCATATGAAATGAGTTGAACCTTTGGCAATAGAAGAAGCCTGGAGACAAGCAGTTTAAAAGAGTTTAAGAGCGAATAAACATATTCATGAAAAATAAAGGGTGGGTTTAAATTTTTAATTTCTTTAATGGTGGATATACAAAGACAACTTTATAAAACCAAGTGGTCCTTTGCTTTCCATATATTAAGTAACAGAATTGACTCAGAACAAGCAGTTCTATTGCAAGTGCCACAAAATAAGTTTAAAAAATAAGAACACATTTATTACTCTAATTCTGCATTTTACCAGTGTTTGTTTCAAAACTTATGAAACAGAAAGCCTTATAACTGCAATTTAACTGATTTTTAAATTTATTTCTTAACAAACAGTATGACCTGTAATTCCATTGAGGATGGTCAACAAGGATAGGTTTTTGACATTACTTACAATGTCAACACTACTAACTTATTAAATTCACATTAAACACTTACACTAACTTCCAATACCAATAATAAACATAAGCAAAACTAGTTTACAATTTCACTAAATAAAATAACTGCCTTAAGTTTTAGCTATTGGAATGAGAGTAGCGTGGCAGGATACTAAGAAGTGAGACCAAAGTTTGAATAGAGTATATTGATTAGAGCTTTTTGGAAACAATACATTTTTTAGAACCAAATATTAAACCATCCACTGTCTTCACTTTGAGTAAGTTCATATTGGGGGCATTTCAGCACTAGCAGATACTTCTTAAGAGTAACAAACATTATGACTTTAGTCATCTTTCTACAATGAACTGAAGAAAACTAATTGTTTCTAAAAAGTTTCTAACGATTGCATTTGGATACGTGAAATGTGAAAGAGACATTTAGCTTTGGGACTTCAGGAAATTTTATTTGGTAGGCAAATTTAACAGTTAGGTAGTCAAATAATTTACCTGCCAATTAAGTGCTAACTTTCCAAATGTAGTTTTAAAAAAATTTCCAAATCTGAGGAAAAATATAGGACTTTCATTATTTGTAATTTGTTCACATTATTCAAATTTATATCTCATTCTATCCTAATTAATAATTTCATTGATTCCACTGAATAGTAATATATTTAATGAAATGCAAAATCACACAGTCATAACATAATCAACTTTGTAAGAAATACGTACACAAATTCTAACTACATGTATATTTCAGTTGAAAACTGTTGTAACTAAATAAAACTACATTTAAATTTCCAATAATAAAGTTCAAGTTACTACATTATAAATTATTATTCAAGTAAAATGAAATAACCAGTGATCCACTTATCATCTAATTTAGTTAATAGTATTGCACATGTGGCTTTAGCATGTTTCTAAAAAAGTAGTTCTTTACAAATGTAATGATAGTTAAAACTGCAATGCTGTTTATTCTGAGCTAGAAACAATAACAATACTGCATACTGTAAATATTATTTATAGTTCAAATACATGAAACATTTATAATGAACAAGTATCAAACATTATTGTTACATTTTACACAGAATTTAAATATCTATGTTGGACAACAGCATTATCTGGAAAAAATGAATACATAAATAAAAATAATCAAACTAATTTATCACTATATCTAATACTGTTCAGTAGTACCAAAATATAATTGTAAAAAAAAAGGATCTCTGTGAAAAAACATCTTATAAGTGAAAATGTTTTTGATTTACCTTATTATATTAAATAATACATATTCAGATTTTTTTCAAAATAGAAAAAATACCATTAACTCACAAATATTACCTTTCATATCCACAACAGTCTGTTTCTGTGCTGCATCATCATCTGTCTGTTTTGGTTTTGTTATGCAGTCCTCACCTTCAAATGGAGGATCCTGCATGATGGTTATATCAGGATGAGATTTAGAAAATTGGATAATGTGCTTTAAAATTCATGAATTATATGCTTCTTTGATGAAAAAAAATCAATTTTAAATTACTACTATATGAAATAAATATAACTTATGTTTGCCTGGACCTCAAATTTTTCATGAAGTTTACAACTCTGGCTGTTAAATGAAACATTTTAAGAGGTAATCCTGAATAAAAATAACAGATAACTATACAACAGAAAATATGATGATTAATGTGTAGCAACTAATTGAATAAATTGTTTAACATAATGATCATCATGGTAAAAAGACACTGAATTCATAAAAAAAAAGTATGCATCAAATTGAAAAAATTGAACAGGAAATTAATCCCAAAATGATAGCAGAGAATTATAACTGTGTAAAATATATGATACTGGTATACTTTTCTTATCAAGTTTGTTCATGGTTTTATTCTTAATAAATAGAAATTCGATTTTTCCTCATCCAAATAACCTTAGATATTTATTACATTCCACATGTTGCTATTATATAAATTCACTTGTAAAATACTAAAACACTTTTAAGATATATTTCACAATAAAACTGTAACAACACTTTTGTTTCCAAATCAGTGCAGTTAAGTAATAAAATGAAAGTAAACACTTATCCTTAAAGTTATAAAATGTTTAGGTTTGTACAATTTTATATGTTAAATCGAAAAACTAAACATTAAAAAACAGAGTATTTCTGTTCTGTGTTTATAAGGCAACTAAATTACAAGTTCTTATATACGTACAATAGACAGTACTGAAAAAGAGACAAAATCAATCTCAGTAATTTATTAAATATAATTCTAAACCTATTCTGTGATATTTTCTCAAACCAAACAAGCAATGATATTCTAGCTAAATTTACAGTGAAGTCAAGCAACTAAACCTACAAAATTCTACAATCCAATATCTTGCACTATACACAAAACATTACAACAATCCAAGTCTATTAAACAAAGGGAAAAACATGTCAGTCTATTCTACAGTCTTAAAGGAACAATACAATTAAAACTTCTCTAGCTATGGGAAGAAATTCAATGGGTTCACAGCACATATATATATATAATTATGAACATTTTAACATACATTTATTTGAATTTTAATACTACCATACTAACTAGGTAAAGTTTGAAAAAGCTAAAAGTAAAACTATTAGGTAAACTGAAACTGTTTATGTGAAGTTTTTTTTAACTTTTGAAAACATGTTCAATGGATTTTATCTAAGGAATATGGCAGTCACCTTTTTCAACAGTAAAACATAACCTGGCAATATTAAATACAAGTAAGTTCTTTAAATACCATGTAATACTACATAAAATTAAATATTATGTATGTAATGGAGGCTTTCCATATTCTTTAAAAATTATAATTACATTTCTCTACCTGATGATGCAAAACTAATGATGGCAAAACAATTTTATTGTATGGTGTTTTTTCTATCTCATTATAGCTATTTTTAATCTTTAATTAACAAACACTATACAAAACTTATGTAACATAAAATTTTATGATAAAATCAAGGCAAGTAAATAAAAGCAGAGAGAGATCACTTTGTAAATTATTGATAAGAATGATTACTAAAAAAAATTTAAAAATCTTACCTGTCCTTGTTTATAAGCACGAATCACAATAATGTCAAAAAGTATGCGTATTTACATAATATTAGCTATTACAGAAGAATTCTCTAGCTTAACACTTCGTAACACAAAATTAAATAATGTAAACCCACTCAGGATTATGAAATGCTTCTAAAGTAAACTTAAATGTTTTACTGTTTGTATCTAAAGAAATAAAACAATATTTCAATAATAATAGTTAACTTTTACAGTTGTAGAATAAAACAAAAAACAGGAAGTTTAATTTTATAAAAAAATTATTAAAGTGAAAAATAGCATTGTTATCTTTCAGATGTGATGAGACTGCCACTAACTAATTAGATAATTAAATTACAGGATATTTTTTTTATGAAACTCAGTGATGACTCAACAGAAGTTTTATTGAATCTCTGAAAAACAAACATCTATACATCCCAAGCATATCCCTGAATTCTCGCATAATAAAATGCTTTGATCACAAAGTATCTTAATTCTATAAATGCTGTATTACATTAGTTACTGTCAGAGTAATCAGATATGTAATACATCTAACTTACATGCAAACAGTCATGAGCTAAAGGCAAATGGAACAATTATTCTTCTACTTGAGGGTGTGTTTGAAACTACTACAAATTTTTACAATGTGGCAGCAATGGTCTACAGCAAACATGGCAAGCAATATTTTATTTCTTTTGAAAAAAACTGGAATATAATCACAAATGTAGAACTGCTCTTCAAAATTAAAAGGAAGTATAAAGTTTAGTATCAAAACATTTCCATTTATTACTATACAAAAAATTATTACTTTGGTTTCACTAACTAAGGTATGCTATGTAGATCAAAATATTATGCATTTAAAACCTTTTATATTACTGTGACTTTTACATGTTTTTAAAGAGTGTAAATTTTTCCAGTTTAATTTTACCTTTTTTTTTCAAGAAAAATTTCTAACTATTCACAGTAACAAATACCTATCATTACATTTAATGGAAGATTTACTATAGTTCAAACTTTATTAAGAAATCTATTACAACAACTTCCTTTTTACAACAAAGTATCAGAAATATTACCATTTTCTCAAACAGGTCTAGTATTATAAGGAAACATGCACATGCACTTCATGGCATCTTTTTCAAACAAATCATGCATAATGCAGTAAGTAATCTTCTAGCAAACAAATTTCCTGATAGGTTTTGAATTCATTAAACTTTTGTTAAATTGATTCAGAATGTACATATAGTGTTGTTCATTTCTGTTTTAAAACAATAGACATATTTGAACACACTAAAACAAATAAAATGAATTATTAAAAAGTTAGTGTGTAATATTTATTAAACATCTGTTAGTCACCATGAAATAAAGAAGAAAGCAGGCAATAATTTGGTTCCTAAATTAAAGACAGAAAAAAGTTTAAACATTAAAAGTATTATGTTAAGCATATACCAAAGTTAAACCTCTTTTGAATATCAGAAGGTATTTCCCCACCCTCTCCCCCTTAGTTATCACATACCTAGGAAAGCACAGATCTTGGGTGCCAGTGAAGCAACCTGTGAAATACTACAAGTAAGAATTAGCATGCAAGCATATTAAAAAGAAGAAAAATATCACTCAGGAAAAAGCAAATTGCAGATTTGAATGAATGGCCCAGTAACAAAACTAAAATCAAAAAGCACAACATTATTTTGTTATTATTTTATTTTTCAGCCATTCAGGCCTCATCACTGAAAACAGACTATGACTTTTAAAAACTTCACACCAATAAAATTTACATCATGCATAAAAAATAATATTTACATTCATTTTAGTTCTTGATTTCAAATACGTGCTTTTTAATAATCAGGCAATTCCATTTTTGTGTTGGAATGAATTTTGAAAGAAGCAGAGGTAGCGATTAAAGTAATTAAACATTTAAGAAATGGACAACAATAACCTCATGAACATGTCCTTGAAGGTTCTTTGAGCGAGATCTCAGTTGGCTCTCCTTTGTGACATTTTTGTTAAACATGTCACCGTGGGAGGTGTAGGAGATCCGAGAGGAATGAGAGGTATAACTTGAGTGTCGTGAATTCAAGTTGGTGAACATAGGTACAATTATGGCACCATTCTCTTCAGACATGGGTGTTACAGCATTGCTATCATCTGCATAAGGAAGATGCTCTTGTGCATCTCTGTACGTTTGAAGAACCAAGGGCTTCTTGTCTCCAAAGCGACGACCCCCATTACGCCAACTGAACTGACTTCCTCGGCTCCCTCTACGCAGGTTAAAAGGTGAGCCAGGAAGACTAAGGCTGGCCTGGAAAGTGAAAGGACCTCTAGGTTGAAGACTCTTAATATAAGGGGTGTGTTTTCCTTTCTGTTTAAATCTCTGTAAATCTTAGTATTTTTGTGATTTTACAAACTGTCTGCCATTTGTTCATTCATATTAAAGATAAAAAAGTATTTACCTTAGAATTACCCTAACTTATTAAAACTTTTGAAATTTCTTAGAATTCATTGGGCCATTTCATTCAAAGTCTGCTCAGAAGAGAGCAGAGATAGAATTCAGGTTCAAAACTGGAAAAGAACATCAGATTGCCTGATGAAAGAAAACAAAAATGCTATAAAAGAGAATAAAGATTTTTCTTTAAAGCCATCATTTATATTACGTTTTTTGAAAGAATTATTGAAATTAATCAAAAACAGCTTCAACATCATGATGTTAATCCTACAATTTCATTTCTTCATTCCAAAAGTAATCACTCAAATAAATATTTTCCCAAAATATTATACAAAATCTTATGACTCATTGTTTTAGTACATTTTGATATGCAATTATGAGACCTGTATGAGAATATTAAATTCACTGATGTTCTTTTAAGCCAGAATGATGAGTGCTTTGTGCACTTATTTACACTAGTGTGCACAGTGCACAAAGCTACTGTAAAATATACATGACCTGTCTAATTGTACACTTTAATTACCTCTTTCCTAATTTATTATGATTGCTTTAATTTCAAACTTAATGTGGGCTACATTAAAAGTATTTCTAAGTTTCATAGTTACTCAAAATTAGATGTCAATGGAAACATCTGTTATGAAAGTTTGTAGCCAAGAACTCTTTGTCAGCATAGAATATTATTTATTTAAAATTTCAATAAAGTTTGTTCTAAACAACTACTATTTGGATAATTATCCCAATTAACTTTTAATTGAAACATTCTGACAACTGGAAGACATCAAAAGATAAACAAAATATATGCTAACAAAAATATTTAATCTATTGTAAGTTTAAATCTACATACTTAATCCCTTCCATAACAGGCTTTGTTCCAGAAATGAGCTAAAAAAAAATCAGGTTTTTTCTTTTGCTTTTTGATAGCCTATACTTATATATTAATGAAACAAAAGTTATTTTATGATCTCTTACTATATTTCTGCACCAAATATACATGATAAATGAATGTTAAAAATCTGGACTTTTATGTGATATGTACTATTTCAATGAAACTACAGTATGGAATAGGAATGTTTTTCTCTAGTATTTATTATACATAATTCAGAATAAATCTGATAGAGATCAGCACAAGCAGCATTTTCAATGCCATCTAGTAAGCACTATTTGTAATAAATGATAACATGCAAAAAACTTTGAGCAAATAATTAAAAATACAATGAAAAACAGTTTATCCAAATCATCATGAGAAACATTTTTTGAAACATGAAGAGAACCCAAGATATCTTGGGCAAATTATGGAAGGGGTTAAGAAATTTGTAAACAATAAATGGTTCTTAAAGACATACTGATATATTTGCATAAACTATCTTAAGGTCATGTATAAAATACAAGACTCAGAAAAGTCTGCAGCTGTGTACTGAATAAAAAGAATGTAACTATAAAATTTAGAGAACAAATTTTAATTTACCTTTAAGGATGCCATACAGCTAGAAATCAAACTTTTTAAAAATACTGTTTTATGAATATAAACATCTCTCCAAGTTGTCAAAGTTTCTACATTTTGTAAGCTCCATAATATAGTCTTTGGCAGAAAAAGAAAGCTAATTATCTTAAGTATTACCTGTTATTCAGAACATGTCATCATCTTAACAGCAAAAAATATATAAAATGTCATTAAATGTCATCTCAAACAGCAACACTTAATAAACATAAATAGACAACAATTATATTCTGCAAATACCTGCAAGTATACTATTTACAATAAAACAAGGCTGTTTTGTATAGCCTAGATTAGTTAGAGTGAGCAATGTGTATTGATAATTATTGAAACAAAATGCGATAAAAATTTAAAAGCTAAATTCATCTAATGTCCTCTAATAAAGCTAAAATTTTACATAAAGACACTTACTAGGATCACCTAACAATTTCATAGCTACAAAAATTTCAAAATATTAAATTTTGCCAATACATCAGGGTTGTATTAATCTTTGACGGCTCCCTGTTCAAGATATAAATTCCTGCATTCCACCTCAAAAAATCTAATCTATTCTTGCCTTCAAAGATGCAAACTCATGCCCCTATGGTGTGCAGGAGCACTGCTCACACTACTCCTAAAATGGCCTTGATCTATATTGTTAATTAATAAATAAATATGTGCAGATTATGAAAGATGCTCAGAATAGATTTGAAAATAAGTTTAACATATCTGTGAACAGATGTCTTGGTGGTACTGCTTGAATGTCAATCCAACTTAGGTTTTAAATAAATGTGTTATATTGCAATAAAAACACATGCAGATAAACAATAATGTTTTGCTGTTGTGATTTAGCAACATGTTTCTATCTCTTAAATTACACAAACCAGCAAAACTATAGTTATAAAATCACTTCAGCTTAACACAAAATGTAACAACATGTGTTAAATGTACTTGACTGATTCCAACTATCTAATGATTTATTTCTCACGTCATGTCATCTACAAAAAATATTTCCCATTTCATTCCTACTTATTTTGTTCCAACCATTAATATTCAATTTTTTCATCCATTGGAAGCTCTTTTTAACATTTGTAGTGTATGATAAAATCTCACATACAGTAATAAATCTTGTTAAAAGTAATAAGATTTTTTTTCCAGGTACCAATTCAACAAAAGGAAAAAACAAGGGTATCATTATAAGTGATTTTTTTTTTTGATTTGTAAATTTATATTATTGTTTTACCAGAGGGAGTATTGACATAGGATGATACACATAACTTATGTTTAGGAAATTATTTGAATAGTATAAAATGTGAGATACGGTCACAGGTGATTAATGATTTGTGAGTCTATTACAATGGATGATTCATTCTTGATTTTGGCATATTTTTGTCAGTTTGTCTGTTAATCAATTAGTTTGGTTTTGAGAATAATGAGTTTGTGTTTTAACAAAGAGGCTTATAATAAAATGCCATAAGTAGTAGAAAAGTAACAAGCAAATGCATTTGTTGTTTTAGTGTATGCTGTGAACTTAGGCCTATCAGTGAGTATTAGTTGATATACCTGAAAAATTGTAGTAAAAGAAATAAAATGTTTTAGTTATGATTCAGTGGACTGGACTCTACATTATTCTTTTTTACCAAATAATCTAAAAGAATTTCCTGTCTAACAACGGAAACATTACAACAATATTATAGTGCACCATAATGATTATTGGGAAAGTTATATAAGCTATAATATTAAGAATTTATATTTATCTTATTTGTTTAAATTCTTACTATATTTTTAAAACGTTTCTGTTAATTTTTAAAATTCTTAATATTCAAACACTGATATATTTTTATAATTTCTAGCATTACATAAATAGTGACATATCTTTGTAACACTAAGTATATTAAACTCATATTAAATATAAAACCATTTCATGACAAGTCTGAAAAATTAATTCTGACAGTGAAACTTCCATATAAAGAGTAATATAATTCTATACTGGGTTACATTTAATTTTTACTACTGGCCTCGCTTGGATGGTAGGAGCCAAAATTAGTCAAAACTATTCTTAGCATATAAAGGAATGATTTTTATTGTTACCAAATACAAGATTCATATTTTTCATACTACACCTAGTAGACTGGAAGGTTAAGAAGATATGAATGTTAAATTTAGAAGTAACGTAAAGGATGAATAATATAAACAAAAAAATACTCTAGTGATATACTGTTCACACCTTTTATAGATTTGCCTCAATATTCATAACATTTTCTTCCAGCAGAAAATATTGCCTTTAAAAGTTAAGTTTTAATAAATGCTAATTATATTAATTATTTCTAATTCTCCATTAAGAGAGAGAAAAATGAGCTACCACGTGATTCAGTGATAAAAATAACCAGATAGAAAATTTATAGGAATAGAAGACTAGCTTCTAAAAATGCATTTTTTTTCAAGATTTTTAAATTCACGCAAGAAATATAAACTTTAACATTTTATATTAAAGCGTAATCCATAAATTGAGTAACACTCAATCAACAAATTATGATTCTCCATTTCTTCAGAAATTAACAACTTTGGTAAAACAAATTTATATTTTTCTATAAATTATACTTTTAATTAGGTGTTATACAAACTTCTTACAATTTGTTATATCAAGAATATTAATATATGTAGCTAGTAAGAAAATCAGTGAATAAGAAGTACCTTTCTGATTTTACCATTTATTCGAGGCTTTAGCTCATACATATTCTCACTTTCTGCACTCTTTATGCTAGCTCTCTCTTTCATGTCTTTTTCTTCAGTCATTTTCTCCTGACCAACAAAAAGTTCATAAGACCGACATGAAAACTCTGATGGACTGTTTACAACATTGTCACCCTTTCTTCCTGCAGCCTCTTCTTCGTGTGCCTGCAATTCAAAAGATTGAGTTAAAATTTATCTCATTCAAACCTCTTGTTAAGAAGAAAATCTTTGTAAAATAACAAAAGACCGAACTTCAAAAAAGTAAAACAAAAGCAGATAACCATACCTTTGACTAATTTTATTAATAGTTTTTGACAATTGCACACAAAAAGAAATACAAAATAGTGAAAAAAAACAACATAAACTCTTTTTTCAAAATATTAATACTCATCAGTTCAATTCTGTTTATTACTACTTACATTTTAATACCCAAAAATTGAGGTTTTAAGTATCTAAACAAAGGATCTTTAATCACTGAATTTTATTTTTCTAAGCTACAAGGAACCAAATTTATAACAGTCCTAAATCTGTTATTAATCTGATTGTACTCAAACATTTTAATTCAATAAACTGTAGATGTATGAGAAACTAATGTGTTCATAAACTTTCATATAATACACATATAATATAATAACTGAATAAGAAAAGGTTAAAATTAAACAAATTTGAAAAGATAAAAATTATCCTTGAACAAAATTCATCAACTACTATTAATAATATTTGTACTTCTTTTGAAGTTATGAACCATTACAAAAACATTCGAAAGTACGT